TTGGACAGGCAAAAATGGCATGGTAAAGACAACATCAATGTAATATTAGGCATTACTGTAAGACATTACACACAGATGTGAAGGAACATATTAAAGGATGCTGCTTTGTGGCACAGAGGAATTAAAAATACAGATACAGTATTTTCTTAGATATATTCATTGTTGGTTTTGGTCTTTTATTTGGAATTTCTGACTGGCTCCTCAGCAGCTCCAAATCTAGTTTGCATGCCGGTGTGATGTTATAAATGCTATGAAAGGCAGCCTTGCACAAAAAGCTGACATGGTGACATGTGTTTTTAGCCGGTGGTTGTTCCACTAACTGATAAACAACCGGTGGTCCGCGTTGAACCGAGGAAGGTAAATGAAGTGAAGCGCCCATACATGCATTTCATTATCTCGACCTAGCGTTCCCTCGTGCTCTCCCCAAGTCTCTTGTTGCACCTCAGGCCCTTGAAGGTATCTGAGTTTCTGATTGCTTCAACAAACGCGTTGAATACAGTGTCACTTTGGGTGTTGGTCAAAGCATGAAGGAATGTCACCAAGCGACCACGGCCATCAGTTCCAGCGTGGATCACACTCCTCCATCTGAGAAGGGAGAAAACATGATTATGTGAAGATTCACAAACAGAAAAACTTACTGTGCACTGAGTAATTTTAAAATAGGTTTTTATTGTGATTCAGATATTTCAGTTAAATACATATGTCATCTGCAAGCATCAGCTGTGCAATTTGGGATAAAAACTAAGAAATGTGCAATGTTTTATACAAAAGTAACATTTAATGCCAAAAAGTCACAATACTTGTTAGCCAGAATACAAATATTGTTTATTTGTTCATAATGGTAAATAAATACGCATCGGTTTCCCGTCATTATTTTCTGATAAGGCAAAAAACGAGTGAGATGGAACTGCTGAATGCTGCTATCACATCTCTGCTGGTGATATGATCCTTTCTTGTGAAAATATGAAAAAAAATTGCAGTGTTCATTATTAATTTTCACTTTCTCAGCCGTCTGATTTTACTTCCCTAACAGCAGGAACAGCACGAGAGAGAAAAAGAGATGCGTTTTTGCATGTGACTGAAGATGATGCCATCAGACGATTTTGGAACAGAATGTGAAATTCATGTGGTCAGTAACAGGCTGCTCATTTCCAACAAATCATCTAACTCAGTGTGTTTCAAGATCAAGATGATAACGAATCTCCTTTGTCAGTATCTAGAAGGATTAAATCATTACAGTTATGCAACACTGAACTGTGATTGAGCCTGGTGACTCTGATGATATCAACCGAATTCAACAAAACATTCATTAATTTGATGCAACAAGAAAAGGCTGTAATAAGACCTGCTCAGCTGAACAGAAATAAAACACACAGGACTCCAGGACTGGGTTGTACCAGCTATTCTTAATCTTGTTACTAAATTAGGATGTCTGAGTAGCTACAAACTAAATTCAGACTAGTAATTTTACTAAATCAGGTTCCAGGGTTGAAACTTTAAAACATCTTAGTTGCAAAAGATAATGTGTAAATCGTTTGCTAGGAAACATCTACTACAGCTGATTCAGTGTTTTGTAGACTTTAAAAATAACATTTAAAAAACGCAACTAAACACCTGACTGAATGGATAAAATGCAGTGCCTCTCTAGCTTGAATTATTTATCAGTAAGTTACTTCCTAGGTCTATGTTACTGCACTTCTCTGGAGGGATTTTATACTGCAGCCATACTACTACTGTTGGGAGGCAGCGGTACAGAGTCAAACTGATAGCAATACTCAGTTTTCCTAATTATAATGAAACAACCATTTCAGCATTTGATATGACTGAAAACATCTGCTCCTCAGTATACCCATCTATATCAATAATTCCACAGCAAATTGCTGCGCGGTTGTTGCATGAACGGCTGTTGTCACACTCTTTTATGTCTGAGAGCACAAATGGATACTTGACAGCAATTTTATAACAATATGAAGTCTGAAATTTGTCAAATAGCTGAATGTAAATGTCTTAAAAGCACAAGAATATGTTTCATAGTCTAAGGAATATTACAAGTAATTTAACAGTCTGTGTTTGGGCACAGGTACCTGACCTACTCGGTGTGAATCAGCTATGCTGTCTGGTGCTAAAATAGCCCTAAAAACACAGTCTGAGCTGGAAGGTTGGGTGGCAACAGCCTGAGGGATACAGACACATTAAACTGTTGCTTCAAAGACTCAGATGAGTTTGAGAGTATTTAATTGTTAATAGAGGGTAAATGTGAAAGTCACAGTAAAAGACATCACTTAAAAAAACCCCATTAAACTGACTTTAATCAAGGCAGTTAACCGGGAGCTGCTACGTTTGTGATTCATGGATCAACAAACCCGGCTTGTCTAAATAAAGCAATCTGATATTCTGAGGAGTTTAAAATGAAAACTGAGTATGTTGGTCTCATTACAGTTGCAAATTGGATAGTGGAATTGAAGGAATGTGCCGCCTGCACAAACATATCGACATTTGGCCCTTGTTGGAAGGTTTTTATTAATGGAAACTCGAGGGAAATATGTTTGTTGGTGAGGTTTGACAGCCATATGCAGACATTCTGACAACTCAGCAGTGCAGAGAGACAGTGGGGGGGCACCAGTCTGGGCATCAACTCACAATGCCCACCACTGATGACTTCATTAAAGATGCATCTTCTTTCTGTCGGGGTGCCTAACGTAACAAACAAGAACTCAGGACAAATCTGAGCAAAGTAGTTGACAGTTTCTTGGAGATAAATCTTCATATTTTCAAGGGAAGCTCTTCTGATCTGCTAGCCCAGATGGCAATAAAGTTTATCTTTGCCAAAAGAGCAAATGACAATAGAGCTGAAAGACAATAAAATGCTACATAAAGCTGAGAGGAACTGCTGTGTCAGGTGATTATTCTCTATGGGTTCCTGTATCTATTTCATCTATTGTTGTAAAAAACCCCTTAAAACCATCTCTTAGCCAGTGGTTACAAGGTCTTTAAAGTTTACTCCCTATTGAGAAATTACTGCTCATAATGAAGGGAAACTTCAAGCACTTCAGATGTGGGAACGCTTCATGGACTCTCTGAAAAATGATCCCATGGAAGAACTCAATTCATTTTGAAGTATAAAGCAATGTAGAGCTGATTCTACATCAGTATTAGTTCACTTTTTATGTATTCATTTTAGCATATACTATCATTGCCTTTATTTATGATGTTTCACTCTTCTGTTTAGGCCATGATTTCTATAGTACAGTACGTCTGTCACAATTGCGAAACACAATAAACACCACATTTTCCTGTGACAGTGTTGGAAAGTGGTGTCCATTTACAAAAAAGACAGCTAAAAGTCAAAGACACTGTGCGCCTCCTGGATCCTCCTTTCTGTCATATTGGTATTTCATCCGTTTGATTTCCTCTCTCGCTGTGTACACAAAACCCCGGCTCAGGGGAAATCTTTTGACCATCACAGTCATTACAGGGGACTGATTAAGATGCCTGAGCAGACATCACCCAAACATCTGTGATGGCTCTGTTAGGCTTTTTGGATCCTGTGATAGGAAACCTGAATCAAAGTCATCACATTCACCAGCTGTACCGACGGTGCACACTGGCTAGTGTGACATTTTTTAATACCATTTCTGGTGTGTGTACATCAAGTTCATGTACAAACATCTCTAACGTTAGCCTTGTTTTAGTTTCTTGGCTAAGCCCAATGATATTACTTTTCATTTAAAAGCA